CGCGGAGCGAGGGCGCGAGGGAGGCCGAGCGGAGGGCGCGAGGCGCCGCGGCGCGAGGGGCGCGCGGCCACGAGGAAGTGTAGTTTCTTACAGGGCTGAATTGAAACAACTTCAGCTGTTTGCTTTTAGGATGTCTCGCCGCAAGCAAGCGAAACCGAGATCCCTCAAAGGTAAGGAGGACCCCCCCCTCCGCTTTCCTCCCCCAGCCGTGAGTGTCACTGTGGGTAGCGGAGCGAGGGCTGCGTGGCCGCGAGGCGTGTGCGCGCGTGAGTGTGAGTGTGAGTGCGGGGGCGCGCGCGCTCCCCTCCCCTGTTTAGCCCCCAGGTGGAGTGAGGGTGATGTGCCGGGGCGGGGGGGTGGTTAAGACGGGAGGAGGATCCCCAAATGGGGCGGCTGTAGAAAGTGGGCAAGGAAAGACAACCCCAAAAAAAAAAAGGAAAGAAAAAGAAATCATCCGGAAGGGGAGGAAAAAATTCCCCCGTCTGAGATCTACATCTGGGCTGGAGGAAAAAGTTTCTGTTGTGTGTTTCGCAAAGAATAAATATGCAAAACCGTGCGGTGCTTCTTTTTTCCTTTCTTTGGAAGAAGAAAAAAGTCATCTCGGAGAAAGGGGAGTAGCCTCTGCTCATTAAAAACGTGGCCCGGGGTCCCGGCCGCGCCAGGCGAGGACACAACAGCCGCCGCCTCCTCCCCGCCCGCGCCCCGCTCCGGTTCTTGACTCGGCGCGCAGCCCGTGTAAACAATCGCGGGGACCGGCCCGCGGGCGCCCCGGGCCCCCGGCTCCCGGCCCGGAGTACTCCTCTTGGCCATTCCGAGAAAGTTGACCACCCCCTCGTCCCAACTACTCCTTGCCGCCCCCTTTGGTCTTTTGCTTTTCGTGAAGGGGTCCGGCTCCCTGTCGTCCCCGTTGGAAAGGGAAGTTTGTGGGGTGCGTGGGGGGATTTTTGGGGCGCGCTGGCTGCGGCGGCGGGGGGGGGGGCGGGGGACGCTGAAGTTATTGATCCGGTGGCTGTGGAGGAATGTGGCGAGGAGAGTCACGTGGCGGCCTCCTCCTCCTCCTCCTCCTCCTCCTCCTCCTCCCCGACCCTCCTCCCGGGGAAGCCAGGGGCGGGCGGCCGCGGGAGCCGGGAGGTCCGGCGCTCCGAGGCCGAGAGCCGGGAGCGCGAGCGGCGGAGCGCGAGGACCGGAGGAGGTGCGGGCAGGCCGGGCATGGAATCGGGGCGAGGGCGTGGGGGCGACAGCTGGAGGTGGCGGAGGCCCCCGCAACCCCGGAGGCGGAGGACAAAGGGCGGCTTGTGCGTCCAGCGGGGCCCGCAGGGTCCCGCCGAGGGCCGTGCTGCCCGGCCCCGCCCTCTGGTCCTCGGCGGCGCAGCATCCTCTTCCTCCTCCGCGGCCCCGGCCCGGGCGCCCAGTTGCTCCTGTGTCTGCCGCTCGCTCTCCCGACTCGGCCGCCGGCCCGGGGAGGGGTGAGCAGAGCCCGGCGCCCCGCGCCTCTCGGGCCCCCGGCCTATGTGTATTTATGAACTCGACTAACGGAGCCCTCACCGCACACACAAAGCCCTTTCTTCTCCTGGGAAGGGACGGGGTGGGGGAGGGCCTCGCAGATTGGAACGCTCTCTTTTTTCCTGAAGCACGGGAGAAGTTTTAGTTTGAAAACCAGATGAATCATTGACATGTGTCTTGACACAGTTTTTGTGGTGATTTACATTCACGTGGGCCACACATTTTCTGGGAAAACCCAGACCAAGAGCCTGAAAGATTCAAGCATCGATAGTGAAAAGATAAACGCCACGGGCGTGCGCGGGTGTCAGGGTAACCGTGGACCACGCTCGCGTCGGGGGAACTTGCCGGGAGACTCGCTGCTTCCTTACAAGTCACGCTGAGCGAAGTACCAGGACAAAACCTACCTAGTCACTTGGAGAGAAGAACTTTCCGAGTTTGATAGGATAGCGATTCTTAAAGGGCTGCGGGAGGCTTCTGAAACCGCAGTAATTTGGGAGGCTTTTTATTTTTAAAAAGTTTATTGAAGTTTTCACAATTGGTTGCTTTGCTCATCCGCAGTGTCTGAGCATCTAGTTCACCTGCCTTTGATGAATTCACAGTGCAAGTTCTGTTGATTGTGGGTGCATGTGCTCTCCGGGCTTCCTAAAGAGGGTTTATTCTCATGCACGTAGGATTTTATGGGCAGTAAGTGAAGCCGTCAGTTGGCGGTGTTCACAGGGCAGTCTTGGATAAGTCGAATTGCAAAATACCTGGGACCCAGACCTGTGCAGTTCTTAAGTTAATAAGAAATAAAAAAAAAGGAAAGTGAAAACGAGTAAAGAGGGCATCTTATTCTTTTGTTATGTTGTCATATTGCAAAAAATCCATGTATCATCTCCATGAAGACACAGCATCTGTGTTTCAATTGCCAAGCTTTAAATAAAATATTTACATTAAAAGCAAAGATTTAGCTTCCATTCGCTGTGTGGGCACGGAACACAGTGGTCTTCTCGTGTGTCAGCTGCTTGGACGACTCCCAGAAGAGCGAATGGCCTGAGGTGGGCTGGCTGAGCTTTGGGGGTGAGAAGCTGAACAGAGGAATAAAAATAGTACAGTCCTCACTGAAGAGCGGGTTTGTTTTTCCTCAGGGTATGCATTTACCTGGAAAAATACATATTTAGATGAGCTACGTCAGATGAGTAAAGGTGATAGTAGTGGTTTTGGAGAAGGAGAATGGCATTCTAGGTGGCTCCTGTGAAATACCTAGCCTTTTCTTCCCTATTTTCGTTTTCCTGTGTCTTCCTGGAAGGGTCTCCATTTTTCAAAATGTGTTTGAGGAGTGTTCTGAGCATGTGGATTTGGTCCGCTATATTGTTTGGAAGGTCACACTTGGATCATAGAAAAGCCAGGGAGGTATTATTATGACAGATATTCTGGCATAATAATAATAATCAATGAGTAACACTTTGCTATGAGCAGGGTAGAAAGGCAGCTTTGATTTAAGTTTCTTCTTTTATGAAAAACTGATTAGTAGTTTTGCAACTAAGAGATAAGAATTCTGATTTTATTAGATGACTGACAGTATTTCAAAACCTTGTAGATTACTTTATACCTACTTGAAGGAGGCATTGGAAATCATGAAAATGCCATGTGCCCTTCTAAATAAAACACAAAGTTCTGCATTCAATTTCTAACTTGTCTCCTACAGCCACACTACTTCATTAACAAGGTTTAAAAGATATTTCTGATAATGGCTGTCACTTTTGATGTCATAATTTGAAACTCATATCTCAGGGGAGCAATTTACATAAGGCAGGTAAAAACAGTAAAACAAAATGACAGTTAAGTTTGGAGTTTTTGTTTTCAACCAAATGCTTAAAAATAAGGACTACCAGGATTCTATTAATAGTTGATTTATTTTGTGTATTCTCATAAATTTAGTACTTTGAATGAATAATTATATTTACGTACAAAAGTATGCAGGGTTTTTTGTTTGTAGCAAACCTGAGTGTAATTGTTCTAATAAGCCACCTCCTGAGAGTGGGTGCCCCGTTTCTGGTTGTAGAGGAGCATACTCTGTTTGGTCTCCTTACCTCTAAAGTGCATTAAAACTGTTCAACACCAAAAAGATTCATTTTTCTATTTGTGAAATCTGCGAAATATATTTTGAAACATGAAACTCTTTCACTCCTTCTGCCTCTCAAAGCCCTAGCATCAAAATTCTCTCAGCCTACATAGAGAGTCAAGAAACTTATTCTGTCCTTATGCTACAAATCTTCAGAATAACCCTTTCTGTTTATGAAACAGAGACTTAAAGCCAGTATTTAGAGGCATGGCTGGTCAGACAATTACATGAGTCACCTTTTCTATCTCATTTGTATTATTTGGATATTTATTTCAATTCCTGAGGGTAGACACAGTATTTGAGATTACCTGACTGAAGATAGTTCTGCTGTCAGCTTGTTTTTAGAGGCTGCAAATCAGTTGCATCAAATTGGTCAATTGTGACCTATTTCTATTTTTCTTGCTGGCTCTTTATTCTATTTCTTGTGGTGCTTCTCTGATGGAAGTTTCTGGGCCATTTTACTTGATAAAAACATTTTTTTTTTGAAATTTACAGCAAAAAGCACTGTAAGAAGGAAAAAGTGGTCCGCTACACAAAGGTGTGATATATTCAGTAAGAGCCAAGTTATAAAGCTG